TAAATATATGAGAGTGACAATAACTCTTAAAAATCCTTTTATTTCCTGTAAAAAAAATTATATGATCATCTTAGTAACACTCACAAGTCACAATTGATGTGAACATGTTCAAAATTAATATAAAAAATTTAGTGTTAAAAAATAATATTATACGTATTTGATATTATTTTATAGATTATTATTATTAATATATTAGTACTAGTTCATTCATGTTTGAATGATTAATACTAGTTATATTTTGGGAATAGAATATTCATATTATATGTGCTCATAAGTCTTGATAGACATTATTTACTACTTCCCATAGTATATATTTTGTTACCAATGCAATGATTAAAAAAATTTGAAATCAATGTTTTACCAATTCTAGAATTAGTCTAATTTTTATAGTATTGGAGTGAACCATAATTGATGGGTATAATATAAAAAGTGAAAATACATGATGCATTGATAGTGTAAAAAGTGAAAATATACAAATATGACAAGTTTATTAAGTGATACCCATAATAGCGGCAAGTGAAATGAAAGGAGCCTAAACAGTAAAAATGGGATTTGGGGGAGAATTATAGTTAACCGAAGCAATGAAGTGTGACATCTTAAATGGTGAGATTCTAATAGCCAAAAGTATCACTAGCTTCCGCTCTGACCTAAGTAGCATGGGATGCATGGGATCTCATTTGAATCAGCAAAGATCACCTTACAAGGCTAAATACTCCTAGTACCATGAGGGAAAATAATTCCCACTAGAGAGTGAAATAAAACATAAAATTGTAAGTTTCCAAGTAGTGGGGCGAGCTCAGCTAAGGACTATGATCGTGTGCATGTTGAATAATGAGTTGGCGACTCATAAGCAGTAGCTTGGCTAAGGGAAACCACCAAAGTCATAGTGAAAATGAGTCTTTATGAGACAATTGTCACTACTTGTGGACTCAAACTTGGCTTATACTCATCTCTATTCCCATTACCAGATAGATATAGAATTTGAGTCTCATCTTTGTCTTTATCAGGTATCGACAATACTCGTCCTATACATGTCAAGAAACTAATTAAACATTTTTTTTATAAAAAAAAAACAAATTCCAACATAGAGTGACATTAAATTTCATCAGACATAAATTTAAAATAAAAGTAAGATTTACATAAATTTAAGTAAATTCCAAAAAAGATAAACAACCACGTATAATTAAAATTTTCAGGAACGAGGACAAGTACGAGTACAAAGTGTGTAAGTATAAACACATCCTCATCCTCATATCCGATTCAATAAATTAGGTGTATTACTCATACTTGTCCATGCTTAATCAAACTTAGTATTTTTTTTATCATTTATATCATAATACTAAGTTATTCTTAACTATTTGATAATTTTTATAAAATATTAAAAATTAATTTATAAATAAAAATGAAAATGATAAATTAAAAGAGATAAATAGCTAAAATTATTAAATATATGAGAGTGACAATAACTCTTAAAAATCCTTTTATTTCCTGTAAAAAAAATTATATGATCATCTTAGTAACACTCACAAGTCACAATTGATGTGAACATGTTCAAAATTAATATAAAAAATTTAGTGTTAAAAAATAATATTATACGTATTTGATATTATTTTATAGATTATTATTATTAATATATTAGTACTAGTTCATTCATGTTTGAATGATTAATACTAGTTATATTTTGGGAATAGAATATTCATATTATATGTGCTCATAAGTCTTGATAGACATTATTTACTACTTCCCATAGTATATATTTTGTTACCAATGCAATGATTAAAAAAATTTGAAATCAATGTTTTACCAATTCTAGAATTAGTCTAATTTTTATAGTATTGGAGTGAACCATAATTGATGGGTATAATATAAAAAGTGAAAATACATGATGCATTGATAGTGTAAAAAGTGAAAATATACAAATATGACAAGTTTATTAAGTGATACCCATAATAGCGGCAAGTGAAATGAAAGGAGCCTAAACAGTAAAAATGGGATTTGGGGGAGAATTATAGTTAACCGAAGCAATGAAGTGTGACATCTTAAATGGTGAGATTCTAATAGCCAAAAGTATCACTAGCTTCCGCTCTGACCTAAGTAGCATGGGATGCATGGGATCTCATTTGAATCAGCAAAGATCACCTTACAAGGCTAAATACTCCTAGTACCATGAGGGAAAATAATTCCCACTAGAGAGTGAAATAAAACATAAAATTGTAAGTTTCCAAGTAGTGGGGCGAGCTCAGCTAAGGACTATGATCGTGTGCATGTTGAATAATGAGTTGGCGACTCATAAGCAGTAGCTTGGCTAAGGGAAACCACCAAAGTCATAGTGAAAATGAGTCTTTATGAGACAATTGTCACTACTTGTGGACTCAAACTTGGCTTATACTCATCTCTATTCCCATTACCAGATAGATATAGAATTTGAGTCTCATCTTTGTCTTTATCAGGTATCGACAATACTCGTCCTATACATGTCAAGAAACTAATTAAACATTTTTTTTATAAAAAAAAAACAAATTCCAACATAGAGTGACATTAAATTTCATCAGACATAAATTTAAAATAAAAGTAAGATTTACATAAATTTAAGTAAATTCCAAAAAAGATAAACAACCACGTATAATTAAAATTTTCAGGAACGAGGACAAGTACGAGTACAAAGTGTGTAAGTATAAACACATCCTCATCCTCATATCCGATTCAATAAATTAGGTGTATTACTCATACTTGTCCATGCTTAATCAAACTTAGTATTTTTTTTATCAAAGTCGGAAGAGTTTGAATATTATCCATGACTATGAATTTATTTTCCATCTATCCATGACCAAGATGAAACTTGGGTGAAATAGTGTAGGGCATCCTAATGCTGAGTTGTTTATGTTTAAGGATTATGATTCAATGTCACATTTAGTAAGAATTTATTATACATATATAAGATGCACTCAATATGTCTAAGCTTGTCCCATATATGTATTATAAATGATACCTTGAAAAGAAAATTGCTTCTACCCCAATAATAGGGGATTGTGTCGGTTGTAAGAGGTGTGAATTTACTTGTCCAAGAAATTTCTTAAGTATTAGAATTTATTTATGGCATGAAACAACTCAAAACATGTTCTAACTTATTGATACATTTACCAACAAAATTTTGCACTAAATAAATACCAAATAAATTAACTATTTTTCTTAATTTTGGTTAATTAGGTATCCAAATCTTATACACGAGAACAAAAGTATTTCTTCTAGACATATATAAACAAAAAATTCTTAAATTTTAAAACTAAAATATAAACAAATTTGAATCAAGTTAGATCCATTTAATGCTTTTAATCCAAAAATATTCCTAAAATAATAAATAGGAGCACTATTTCTTATAAGTGTGGTTAAAGATATTTTAAGAAATATACAATGTATTTTGTGTGAAATTAAATATTTCCTGTTGGTGAAATCAAATATATTTTATAGGTTAAATATATTTAATTAAATTCCTTAATATGTGTGAAGTTGATTTTTTTTTGCTTATATATAAATAGGATTGAGGAGTCAGACCTTAAATTGGAGACTTATGATATGATATATTTAAAGTTTTATATGATCTAACCTGACCTATTTAATAAAAAAATGTCAAATTTAGACTTTTACAAAAGTCTATGATTGTTTAAAAAGGTTTGACTTAGACTTATAAAAAATATTATTACTTGATAAGTCAACTTATTTATCCATATAATATAATAAAAAATTAATATAACTGTTACATTATTAGTAATATAAAAATTAAATTATCAATATTTTTGACATTTTTATTATATTTATACATTTTATGTTTCTTATTCATATGAAATCAAGGTTAAAATGTTTCAAATGAAATATAGTGAATATTTAGATTTTTTTTTAATAGGATTACCATCTTTCATCACAATTTGTTTATGAGTATTATATTAGTATGCATAAGTTATCTCTCTTACATTAATTTGTTATTTTTCCTTTAAAAAAATTAAATTATAATAATAATGGAGTAAACTATTTTTTATCAAACAAATTAAAAAGACTTATACACATCTTTAAAAATAAATTTGTTAATTTATTTAAAATTAATTTATTAACATATTTAACATTGTTAATTTAAAATAATTTTTTAAATAAGTTAAGATGCGACACTAGCTTTTTAAAAATTTATAAAAAAAATCTATAATAAATAATAAGTCAAATTTATACTTTAATTTTATAAAATAAGTATATTTTTAATATTTAAATATGATTTTATGTGTCCTATTTCCTTTCTTATTGAGATTAGGAAACATTAATTAACTGATTAAAAAAATAATTAATGACTATTATTATTAAACACAAAGCAAAAGTATTTTTTTTAATAAAAATAATGAAATTTAAAAAGTATTAAACACGAAGCAAAAGTATTAAACACACGAACACGAAACATCGAATGCAGCGGTATGAATTTGACCAGTTTAGTTCAGACACGGGGAGTCCAACAACTTATGGTGGTCCCATCCCATTATAGCGTTGAAATCCAAAATAATAAATAAGCAAATTAAAACTAAAAAAAAAAAAATTTCTTCAATTGTGTGTGAACTGACGCAATTTCAATTGCGTGTGAACGCAATTTCACTTATTTATAGCTAAAATGAATTCGAGTTTAATTTTGATCCTAATTATAAATTATTTTATATAATATTCTATGATTGGGGAGAAGATTAAAAATGTTTATGAGATATTAATTACATTGAATCTAAAAGCAGAAGCACTAAGGGAGAGGGTTCGGGGAAGGAACGACGTCGTAAGAGGTTTGACTGTGGCCGCAAAAAGAGGGGTATATGCGAGTGGAATATTTGGTGTTTTATGTTTCACTTATGAGTTATTCTCTTCCCTATAAATCCTTCCCACTCCCTTCACTAATTTTCCGCACATCTCATTCACATCATCTTTTTTTTCTTTAACCTTCTTGCATGTTCAGGTCAGTTTCTCAACCCTTCTTCATCCTCTGTTAATATTCTTTTTTTTGTTATTTTTTTATTCGGCATTATTATCTTTTTCATGCGACACCCCATGCATGCATCACGTTATTATCACCCAATTGCACCGACTCCTCAATAAAAAAATATCGAGATACTTATCATCAATTCGAATTTACATTTTTTTGTTTATATGGTTTTCTTGAGTAATCATCTGCATGTTGGTTATTTGTTCTTGATTCGTACTTGTTCGGGCTATCCCTCAGTTTCAACCTTCTGGATTTGTTTGTGGGTGGATACTGTGCCTTTCTCTCCAAAACTAAAACACTCGACGCGCTTTATATCAATGCCATACTTCTTTATGGCTTGATCCAGCATGAAATTTTCTGCTATTACTATTTGCACACGTTAATGGATTTAAACCGTGTAAAATTATTAGTTCTTAATTTGTTCCTTATCTAGGGGTATATGATTGGCTGTCATGTTATGTTAGAAAATGAAAATTTTTTTGCTCGGTACTTTTGGAACATGGCTGGGTGACTTTTGATTTTCTATTTCCTAGGATTTTTCTTTCTACGAATACTTGGGCTTTGATTGTTTACTGTTTCTTAAAATTTGTTAGTGTCCTTGTCACGTTTGAAAGTCTTTGTCCCTTGAATATATATATATTATAGAATTTTGTCCCCTAAGAACTAGAGCACTTCTTCAAGATAATGGAAGAAGATGATGAGACTACATGTCTTGGCTGTTTCTGTAATTTTTTTAAATGCTTATTTTGAACAATCTTCTAAACTTGATAAATTTTGAATAAGAATTTGATTGCAACTAAGTATAAAATTATTTCAGAAATCAGTTTTTAAATCATAAAAGTCATAAGGGAATCAAACAGGCCCTTATTTACTTTTTAGTATTTTTTTTAAATACATATTCCGGGCTGAGTTTAGATATTATTAGTCCCTACCAGTTTTCTAATATCTGGGGTAACAACTAGTGCTGTAGCTTGAAAACTTTGCTCACTTGCTTGTATTGAGTAGAACGCTCTATCTTCCTTATATTTGGTCACTTGAGGGTCTGTACAAAATTTCAATTTTTCTGAGCTTTAATTATGATTTATGACTTCGGAATCTGGATGTAAAATTGTAAAGTCTATTGGTTGATTTCACTTGATAATTTTTTCAAAACCATAAGCTATGCTTGAGTCTTCTTTAATTTAATTAAAGATTTCATAATTGATCATCTCTGACTCTTGGTTCCATTTCTGCAGAGAAGGCAAGCTTTTGATAGAGAGAAACAGAAGAAAGCTTGTAATTTTTGGCTTGAAAAGTGATGGCGAAGGAGCAAATTCAGGTGCTAAATGCACTTGATGTGGCAAAAACACAATGGTACCATTTCACTGCAATCATCATTGCTGGAATGGGCTTCTTCACTGATGCATACGATCTATTCTGCATATCCCTTGTTACAAAGTTACTTGGCCGCATATACTACCATGTTGATGGCGCAGCAAAGCCCGGTATATTGCCTCCCAATGTTTCAGCTGCTGTAAATGGTGTGGCTTTCTGTGGAACACTTTCTGGCCAGCTTTTCTTTGGCTGGCTTGGTGATAAAATGGGAAGGAAAAAAGTTTATGGCATGACATTGATGCTGATGGTAATATGCTCGATTGGTTCAGGCCTTTCATTCGGACATAGTGCAAAATCTGTGATGGCAACTCTTTGCTTCTTCAGGTTCTGGCTTGGGTTTGGGATTGGTGGAGATTATCCACTTTCTGCCACTATAATGTCTGAGTATTCCAATAAGAAGACTCGTGGTGCCTTCATTGCTGCAGTCTTTGCCATGCAGGGTTTTGGAATTTTGGCAGGTGGCATGTTTGCAATCATAATTTCAGTTGCATTCAAGAACAGGTTTGAGGCTCCACCGTATGAGGTTGATCCAGTTGGCTCAACTGTTGCACAAGCAGACTACATTTGGAGGATAATTGTGATGGTGGGAGCACTTCCAGCTGCATTGACTTACTACTGGCGGATGAAGATGCCCGAAACCGCCCGTTATACCGCCCTAGTCGCCAAGAACATGGAGCAGGCAGCAACAGATATGTCTAAGGTTCTGCAGGTTGAGATTCAAGCTGAACCAAAGAAAGAAGTGACAGAAACGGCCAAGTCATATGGCTTGTTCTCAAAGGAGTTCCTCAGTCGCCATGGACTGCACCTACTCGGTACAGCAAGCACATGGTTCTTGCTTGATATTGCATTTTATAGCCAAAACCTTTTCCAGAAGGATATCTTCAGTGCAATTGGTTGGATACCTCCTGCAAAAACCATGAATGCCATTGAGGAGGTTTACAGAATTGCAAGGGCTCAAACACTCATTGCTCTATGCAGTACTGTCCCAGGCTACTGGTTCACAGTGGCTTTAATTGACAAGATAGGAAGATTTGCTATCCAATTGATGGGGTTCTTCTTCATGACTGTCTTCATGTTTGCTCTTGCCATTCCTTATGACCACTGGACTCATAAGGATAACCGGATAGGATTTGTGGTGATGTATTCATTGACCTTCTTCTTTGCAAATTTTGGGCCTAATGCCACCACATTTGTCGTGCCGGCAGAGATTTTCCCTGCCAGATTCCGATCTACCTGCCATGGAATTTCATCAGCATCCGGGAAGCTTGGGGCTATAGTTGGCGCATTTGGGTTCTTGTATTTGGCACAAAACAAGGACAAGAGCAAAGCAGATGCAGGGTACCCTGCAGGTATTGGTGTGAAGAATGCACTTATTGTCTTAGGTGTGGTTAACATTCTAGGCTTCTTCTTTACTTTCCTGGTGCCTGAGGCAAAGGGAAGATCATTGGAGGAGATGTCAGGTGAAAATGATGAGGAAGTTGGAACCGCGGAAGAGTCAGAGCAGTCACGTTCTCACAACAACAGGACGGTTCCATATGTTTAGAATATGACCATCTGCAGTGTTACTATAAATCTATAATAAAGCAGTGCCTTCAATTAAACTAGGGAAGCACAAAAGCTTTCCCTTCCTCTCTCTAAATGTGTTAAATTTTTTTCGGACATCATGTAGCAGGAACTGAGGAGCTTTTTGTTCTACATATACGAATATTGGCAAATTTGAGTCACAATTGATGTGTAACCATTATTGGTGTGTATAGTACTTTCAAGTTTCAATTACCAGTTTCACTGACCGACTGTATTCTGCATGTTATCTTTAATTTATTTTTCCTTTGACTTAGTTGCTTCAGTGTTTCTTTCCCTCAAGTCTAAGGAAAACAATTGTATTATACGAGACATGTTAAAATTGAGACATCTTGAATAAAACTACAGTTGAACGAGTGGTATCAAACACTTGCATGATGGAACTATTAGAATATGAATATGTAAGAATCTTTCCTTATCGTCTGCATGTGTGTGTCCGTTTAGTTTTTTTCAATGTTGGGTAGACGTAAATTATGACCCTAACGCTACTAGTTGTGGTTCCAGTCTGTCTACGGCACCTGCTTTGGGTGGAATTTGACTTCTACACTTAAAATGCGCTCACTTGTTGAAACTTGAAAGCAAAAGTTTTAGTGGGGAGTTGGATTGATGTTTTTAAATCTGACTAACTTCTTTCTCCACTTGTACTACCTCTCACATCATTTTGTGGTCCACACACACACATCTTGTTTTTCTTTGATAGATATGGTTGTCAACCATTCTTTAAATAATCAGCTGAGCAGAGTATTTTCTGTACCTGAGCTATAGCTAAACTTACATGTACTTCATTTCACCAGGTTATATTTTCATCACAACATTGGATATGAATGATTCAAAATCTTTTGTCTTATAGGTTGAGTTTGACTCCATTCATCTAATGGGTTCAGACTATATATACAGTTTGTCTTTATTAGAAGGATAGATTTAATCTGTTTTCATTTATTTGATGAGTTTAATATGTTTTTATTAGTTTGAAGGATTCAATTTATTTTATTCTATAAGACTTAGTCTTAGTGTTTTGAATCCCTTATATATTTATTTTGGAAATCCTTTCCAAGTACAAAACGCAAAGAGAGTAAGCATAAGAGTAAAATACTAAATGTGAATTCGAAAAGTTGGGAAGAAGATATGTAAAGAGGAACAAAAAATTGATTAGCAAGATTTAAAGAATTTTCGAGAAGAGAAAGAATTACTCTATTATAAAGACTTGATTTTATTTTTCAAATAGTAAAATCTGCTACCTTCGTGGATGTAGACCAAATTGGTTAAACCACATATTTATTGTGTTCTCTTCTCTCGATCTTTTTCTTTTATTATTACATTTTCTTGCGTTTACGTTTCATGTTCATAATGGATTTTCTTGTTTCTATGTTTTTGACTTGTTCTTGCATAGAATCTTTTCTTATTTGTTTTCTTTCTTGTCTCAAAACCAACAGATATTTCATATTTACATTAAATTCCCTCTGTTGAAAACTATGCAAGTATACCGACTTCATTCTGCTTGTAAACCTTGTCCTTTTTTTTGACAGCTGTAAAACCCTGTCTTTCACAACTTAATTTGGGGCTTTTTTTTTCAATCTCCTAGTCAACATTGCTCCGAGCTGATTGCATGGGGGATAAACTGATAATCATATAGCCAATGGCTCCTAAAAACTGATTTCTTTGATATTTTGGGCTAAACTGTTATTAGATTATTTACAAAATGGAGTAGGCTATTAGTGAATCATATTTATTAGTCTCTTCGGCCAATCACAAGGTGAAGGATAGGACATTTATGGGCCTCTTTGCCCTCTTCGTCTTTAAAACTTGAGGCAGGAGGGTTGTAGATCATGCTAAGCTTTTGGACGAACCTCAAATCAATTAAGTGGCAAATAACATTTACTAACCCTTAACCTTGGATAATCATCGCCTATTTGGAGTATCCATCAAGCTTATGCTTTTAGAATAAAATTTATGGTCTTGGTCACAACTGCTAAGAAAATCAAAAAGGAAAACTCAAGAAGACACAGAGACAAACTCACTGTTGCTAAGTCTCCTAGTAAGGTTGAATACAGGGCTCTAGATACAACAACCTGTGAACAACCAAATGGACCCTTGATCCATGTAGCCCATTATGCCGATCTTTGGTGGCCTCACTACTGACAATGATTTTACCATCTACTATTTGTTCCAAAAGAATATCTTCAGTGTAATTGCCAAAGCTCAAACAGTCAAAGTTCTATGCGACACTGTCCCAATGTACTGGTTTTCAGTGACTCCAGTTGACAAAATGGGAAGATTTTCAATCCAGCTTGGAAGTTCTTATGAGCCTCTTTGGACTAATGACTTAATTAGATAAATATCTTATAGGTATTTCTAAGAGAAGAAAATAAAAAAAAAAATGAATAAGTTTTTCTAAAAATTAAAATTAACTTATACATCCACTAATTTATAACACTCATACTAGTTTTTCTAAAAGTTAATTTTCAATTTATGGGGAAACTAATTCTAAGTTGTTAAAAAAAACCTTTTAAAATTTTCATTCTTATTTACCTAGCGTAGAACCATGATAAGGCAGACGCAGACACAGATGTTTAGCATAGAATCTATTACCTATGACACTGGCATTTAGAATTCACTCAATTGTACATGGTGTGTGATAAAGTAGTTACATTTCGTCAGCACCTCCATGGTGCCTGAATAGAAAGGAAAACTTTCAGAGGTAATGTCTAGATTCTGGAGTGAACGAGAAGCCAGAGGATTTAGGAACAGCCAGAAGCTGATAAAATACGAACTTTTCATTTTAGTTTAATTGGCCTCTATCAAATTACACAAGATTCCATCTCTGTATTTTCCACACACGATCCTCATTTTCTTTTACCTTGTTTATGAAGAGCATATGCAATGCAAGAACGAGGGAATGTTAAGTTACTAGTGCCTGTTGAGCTTCACAGATAGCTTCCAAAAGGCAAATATTGATAAACGCAAGTTTTGAAAATTTTCTATAACAAGGGACTTTTATACCCAAGAGATCTGGATCCATAGAGTCTCACGTTCATCATCTCATACAATATGAGTCCAGCAAATTGGGATTTACAGCAATAACTGCCTAAAGCTTTAAACCCATCAGCATTCAGATTCATATTATTGGAGGTATATTTCTTTAGCAAAATGGGCTCTTCGGATGATAAAGCATGAAGAGGTAATTCATTAAAAGTAAGTCCTAGTAGATTCTGATAAGAAAGTGAATAATATAACAGCATAAACATTTCAATGTGCACGGTCTCTCAGCACTTCAAGATCCATTTCTGTGGGGTCAGTAGCCTGGATTTCATAATGAACACCATCTAGCTCCCGTCTAAACCTGTCTTTAGTTGTGGCATAGAGCATCTTAGCACGGATTCGAGATGTTGAAGGGGACCTAATCAATATCATGCAATGAATAACTAAGAATGATATCTCTGGCAGAATCATAGAAAAAGTAAATTAATTTAGAAGCATGTTGTTGAGGACAGATGAAGATCGGAATAAAAGAAGTCCAATCCAAGCATGTTCTTCACAAACGGAGGAGAGGAAGACAAACTCCAAGCAAGATATTGAGGAGACACTTCAAATAAATGATGGAAAATATGTTGTTAAGAAGTGGTAGCCAAGATGCCACTCAAACAAGATATGAATAATTATTGATCAGAGACAGAGTAGTCTTTCTGCGGACAACCAGCTCCAAAAATGCAACAAATCGAGTGCTCAATCAATGCAACTAGAAAAGTATTTCTATAATTATATTTATACCATTTTTTTTCTGGAAAGCAAGGTAAATATATGAAGGCACGACTTGCAATTCTAGCTGATGAAGTAAGCAACTAAACATGCCAATGGAAAAGACTACCGCTTCCTTAAAATTAAAGAGTCCATCATCTTATGTGAGGACACTCTAAAAGTCTTAATTAAACAAAGCAATACTACAGAATTAAAGGCACATAAAGCTATACCTCATCAAAAAATTTAACTCCCTAAGAAAAGAATGAACTAGAAATATTTGAGAACGCCTAAATTATCTAAATAAGTAAATACTAATTTGAAGTTACAATAGACCAAAAGAAAAATAAAGATATTCAGGAAACTTCCTCTTAGTATAATTGAACTAAAGCATCAAGCATAAAGATGTTTGTTCATGTTTTATTTATGTCTCGTTCTTTCATAGAAACGTTAAGAACTTCTAGCCAGTAATGCTCTATCGGCAACTGACAGAGGACACACCTGAAGTTAATATCTGAAGTCACCATCCAGTTGGAAATGGGGTAATTTAAAATGCGGTCAAAACATTACATTTACTAATTTACTAATTACTAACATAGGCAGTCCAATCATGTAAAAAAATTGTGTCTAAACAATAAGACAAGAAAGCCAGACCTACAGTGAAACAATGAACAAACATATAGCTTCATAATCGGAGAAACTGCAAAGAGTGACTATTAAGCAGAGCAATATTGACACGGGCTTAAAAGAATTGCATGGCATGGTTATTTTGAAACTGCCACAGATATGATCATATGTGCCGCATGACAAAGTTATAGATCCTTTTCTTTTAAATACAAAATTAAAATATAAAGAGAAACTAACCATGCAATGAAGAAGATTTTGCTCTTTTGACAGTTCTCAGAAGTGACGAAATCAAAGTCAAACACAGCATATCTGCAATCATTTTCAGGCAAAGATGCAGTAAAATCATCATAGCTCTCAGCCGGGCCACCAGTCTTCTCAACCACAACTTCCCTTTTCTTTTCATCAACCTTAAAGATCACATAACGATGAACCTTCTTTTGCTTCAATTCCATGAAGGTATTTTTGCTGTGATCAGCAACACCCATGCCTGATGAAGCATTTGGCTGGAATTCAAACACATCCGGTCAAAAGCCTTCTAATCTAAAACTTGATTTTGAATTCGGATGCACACACGAAAATTCACAAGCCAAAGATTGCTTTTACAGCTAGCCAAAGCAAGAAACAAGAGTGGAATATTTACAATGACAAGTAACCTACAAAGCAAATAGATTAAATAATAAAATGAAGCAAAGAAAAAAAAAATAATATCCATCAGAACCTACTCCCATCCAACCCAACAGAGTTGAAAAGAAGCTATCCCGAAACTGGGTTGAAAAGAAAATTCTTGCTTCAAGGATGAAAGCTTAGACTTTCTTTATCAGATCGTGTATTGATAGGACCAAAATAGTATTACATAAAAGAGGGTTACATTACACTCATAAGTATTTAAGTTTGTTGTAAATACTATTTAAGTATCAAAGTGTTTTTTTTTTTTAACCATCTTACGAAATATCTACTGATTCTATATATGCTTAATTTTTTTGTCATGAAACTTGGTCAACTATTTTTTTAGTGAAATTTCTCCATCTAATCGCATTTTGTTTTTTTTTTTTTCATAAACAATATTCAAATTCAAAATTTTACTTAAAAACAAAAAAGGACCAATCAAATACCACTCGGGCCAATGGATTTTTAGTTTTAGTATCATAGTTTGATTGAGTTTTTCTATAATTAAAAAAATATAATATTTTAGCCTTTCCATTTATTATTTTATTTTATAATTTTTCATAAATTTTACTTTTTAATTCTTATAATTAAAACGGTTTTATTATAATTTTCATATATATAATTTTCATTTTATTTTACTCTATCATTTATTATTAGATCTATTATTATTGTTATTAAAATTAAAAGATGAAATTCCATGTCCAATTTAAAGTTTAAACCTTAAACTTTTGAGCTCAACTTATAAAAGAGGCATCTGATATCCAATTAAAAGATGAAATATGGTAAAAAAAAAAAAAAAACCTATATTGAAAAAGTTAAATAGAATTATAAATTAGAGGTGAAGCCAAATGTGAAGATTATTGTAGCGTAGTAGGATGGAATTGAGTGACGAAAATGGCAGTACATATGATGATGATATGAGAGAAAAAGAAGGAAGGATTAAGGTGGAAAGGAGAAAGAGAATTACCCGAGTGAGGCCTCTGAAAGACATGATGAGGAAGGTTGGAAGTGAATAAGGATGGCAATGTAAGAGAAGAGAAGAGAAGAGAAGTTACAATAAATAGTTAAGAAAAGAGTGAAGAAAGGAGAATGATAGGGGGCGGTGCGTTGCAGCAACGCTAAGTGGAATCTGGACCATCAATTTCCACCGCCCATCGCCCCATGGGACCCACTTTCTTCAATACTCACCCCATCCATTCGCCGCGTATTCTCTCAATTTATTCACTTTTTCACTTCTTACCATACACGCTCATCTCACGTGCTCCCCCACCTCGTCTTATATTATATATCTTTTTTTTTTTTTTTTTTTACATTTTTACTTTTATGTTAGATTTAAATATGTTTTTAATTTCTTAAATTTAGGATAAATTTTATTTTTTTTCTTAAAAATTAAAATTATTATTTTTAGTTTTTATAATTTCAAAAAAATTCTTATTTTAATTTTTATATTTAAATTTTGTTAAAAAATTTATCAAACATTATTATATAAAATTTATCTATTATTATCCTTGTTAGTGAAAATATCATATTAAATCCGATTAATATTATATAACTGTTTTAATTTTTCACTTTCAAATATGTTATTGGTGACCTAAAAAATTAAAATAATAATTTTGAAAATTGTAGGACCAAAAATAACAATTTTTAATTTAAGAAACCAAAAATAAATTTATCTTAAATTTAAGAGACTAAAAACATATTTAAACCAAAAATATATATAAAAAATAAATTAAATGTTCACTTTATCGACAATATTAACTCTTATTTTTGTAATCAATGTTCATTTTTTTTTGTTTAATATTATTTTTTTATAATTATACACCATCTCATAACTTATATGTTATAATCTCTATTATTACTATTATTATTATTATTATTATTATTATTTATATTATTTTAAAATAAAATATATAAAAATACGAAGTATTTTGATCTCAGTACAAATAATAATAACACAAAATCTTAAAATAATGGTTAAAATACTTTTTTTAGTCATTATAATTTTACTTGCTTTGCATTTTAGGGTTATTTTAGTCATTACACTTATTTTTTAAATTATTTTTGGTTTTTATGATTTAAAATAAATCTTTTTAATTCTTATATTTAGTTTTTTAATCCTTTTGATCTATATTGTTAATTTTTTTGTAACATTGTATTGATTTGACTAAGGAATTAATTCAACTTTGTCTATTTAATATCGAATTCATTTCATTGTTGAGAGACATTTTTTTACTCTCACAAAATTGAAGACCTCTACCACCGTTAACACAAAACAAATAGCATTATAATAAAATTAATAGTAGAGACTAAAATAATTTTAAAAAAACTACAAGTATATGAATTAAAAATATCTAAAATCATATAGACAAAAATAATTGGAAAAATAAGTATAGAGACTAAAAGACTTATTTTAAACCATAGAAACTAAAAAAAGTAAAATAAGTGAAACCATATAAGACTAAGGGGTGTATTGATTTAAGATTTCATAGGATTTTTAAAACACTTTTTTTTAGTAAAAAAATCTGTTGATATTTGATCAGGATTTTATGTCACTTAAAAATTATTTAGTGGTATTCAGTTTGGGATTTCAAGATTTTTTAAAAAGTCCATTAAATTCTATTGATATTCATCTGAGACTTTTTACAACTTAAAAATAATTCATTGGTATTTAAAAATATATAAATTTTAAATGATTATTGTATTAGAGGGATTTTGAAAGATTTTTTTGTGATATCTATAAATACCAAATTCATAAAACAATCTCATCCAAACCCATGAGATTTTGAAGGATTGTTTGAAGTGACTTTTTAAGTGCTTCAAGAATTTTCAAGTGAGTTTTCATCTCTTCTTTTTTCTATGCTCATGTCTTCTCCATTTTTTTTCTCTTGCTAATAATATTGCACTACTGGTCATATATAATATTGTACTACTATTCCTATTCCATTCTCTCTATTTGTTGAAGCTTCTATACTTAAATTATAGTATCATTGACTTGTTCTATTTTTCTCTTTGTTCTCTTTAATTGACTTGCTCTATTTAGTTGAGATTGTTCATCAGTTATATAACACATAAAATGCTTGAAATTTCAACTTTTAAGTAATTTTTTTTATAAGACGCATCAATAAAAGGGAAAAATAAAAACTAAAATTGATATCATGATTTTTATAATCAACTGTAGATCTTTAAGACCTTATAATCAATTTTTTGAATTTATTAGAACAAATATATACATATATATTGAGTTAGGATTTCTATAAGTATAATGAGATAAAAATGGATCTTAGTTGAGGGAAGAACCCTCTAAGCACAAAACAACGATCTTTTTCTCTCTCTTAAATTTGTTACTGTTAGAAAATAGTAAAAATTAAAATTATTATTTTAATCTTTCAGGGTTTATTTGTGTCAGTCACATATTTTATCTGTTAACATATACAATTTTGTTAATTTCCAACAAACTCACCCAAAGAGAACATGACAAACATTAAAAATAGATTGAATGGGAAGAAAAAATGAAACAACATAGAAAAAAAAAGTAAATAAATCTTCTTTATCTTTGTTGACCATTGTGTTTGATTTAGTGATATTTGTTATCCATAAAATCAAAGAAAGTAAACAAAATTGAGAATACTTTGAGATTAAAAAAACTTGTAATAAAATTTTAAATAAAAACAAGACTTAAAATATGTTTTCAATTTCAATAAAATTGATGATTTTGGTTTTGATTCCTCTAAAAAAATTCTATGTTTTTCATCCTTCTAAAATTTATAAATATTATTTTTGGTCATCGTAAAATTAGTAAAATTTGATTTTGATACTTGTAAAATATTTTTCTTTTCATCCAAAATCCAAACTAACTATTTTTAGTCCCCGGTAATCATTTTAAGATGGATAAATAACATTTATTTTAAGAACCTATATTTTTTTAGAGGTATTAAATATCAATATGATATCAGTAATGGTTGTAGATAGCACTTAAGATGACTACTTAACTTTTCAATAGATAAAAAGTAGTTAAAAATAATCACATAAAAATAATACTTTTAATTTTATAAGGATGAAAAACAAAGAAATTTTTTTACAAAGGCTAAAACCAAGACTTGTTAATTTTATAGGGACTAAAAATATATTTAAACCTAAAAATAAATTAAAGATGAAAATATATATCATAAGAGATAGAATTTTAATTCTAAAAACTCTCAAGATTAAGGTTCACATTGGTCTTGGTTGGAATGCATAAAAGAAGATCATTGATGCTAGTGATGTGTGTGTAATGTTTTTTCCTAAAAAAAAAATGGTTACTAGATATGATGTTAATTAATATTTACAAATTTTTTTCACTAGAACATATTGAAATAGCAAAGTTTTTAGAAAGTAAAGTCTCAAATTATTGCTTACTCCTAAAGTTAACACACACACACACACACACACACACACACACACATATATATATATATATATATATATATATACATATATATATACATGGTATGACTTGTTGGTTAAACATTATTTAAAAAAATATATTTAATATGTAATTCCAAATTATTAAATCAAAATTTAATACAATATTTTGGATAATATATTAAAATTTGAATTATAATAATCACTAATCACTTTATATACAAAAGAAATTATATTTTGATTTCCTATATATATATATATAATGAGAGATCCGTTTATTATAGGAATAAGTTTACTTAGACTTACTTCATTCAATAACTCATTTTTTACATCAAATTTTAATGATTTAATCATTGAATTTAAAGTTTTTAATATATAGATCAAGTTTGAAAATTTTTAAATGAAATTTATCTTTAAGGGTACTATTGCTATTGGTTTTATGTACCACTTGAAGATTTTAAAAAAACTGAAGACTAAACATAAGAATACAAGAGTTAAATGTTAATATTTTACGAAGAGACTGGAATGGAAGTGAATGAGACTAAGAGAAAAATAACAATTCAAACTACATCTTAACAAAAAAAAAATGAACATAAGAAAAAAGAAAGAGATGAAGACAAAAGGATTGGATTAGGGTTGTTGCTAAGCTCTCAACTCAAATAGACAGTGTTATTCAAAATTTGAAGTCATGTTCTAATGAATATGCTAATACCCAACTAACATCAAAGCATGTGTAGAAAAATTGAAAGTTCTACCGGGGCTTGTACCCAAAAAATGGGGCAAAAAAGCTTACCTTTGTTTCTTTGGAAGAGTTTGCACTATAGTTTGGATGTATAAAATCTCACACTTGAAAAAAGGTTCCTTAATTAAAAATCTTGGTTATAAATCTTGTTAATTAAGCATAAGGTACGAATCTAGGGACATGGATGAGGATTGAAACCCTCACCCATTCCACCTTGTTAACACTCTTATTCTTAATAATATTGTTGAAACGATGAAACCAGTGGCGCACGGACTAACGGGACACCTTCTCATAGGCTTAGAACTCTATTGTTGGAGGAGCACAAAAAAATTATTTAATTTATATAATATAAAAAAATTACATAATTAAATTATTAAAAATCTACCAAAGAAAATAAAAAAAATTATGAACAATTAACATATAGTCATTTTTTTCATCAATCAATAAAAAATTAAAAATAATTTTAAGAAAATAAAATAACAATGTTAGATATAAAAATAGTGTAATATGTTATTGACCTTTTTTTTTTATAGTGTGAACTTGTATTCGTGTTAACGTAAAATCATATAAAAGAGATATTTTTAAATTTTTTTTCATTTATATCTAATTTTTTTGATTTTTTTATTTTTAAATCTTGACCTATTTTACTTCTTCAAAGTCTCAAAATCAAATTATAAATTTCAACCTTTTTATCATAATTTGTTGTGATGTGTCATCATTAATCTATTTTATTCTCTTGAAATATTAAAATCAAATTATGAACATTAACCTCTTCACCATGAACTTCTTTAAAATGTGTTGTCATTATTAATTCATTTTTCCATTACATAACAATCTCTACAATAACTCATAGTTTCGCATGAATATACAATCTATTTAATTATTTTTTGTTTAATTATGTGTTTAACTATTTATATATTTATATTTTTAAAATTAAAAAATAAGATGATAAATAATATTCAAATATTTATCATAGCATTATTTTTTCACTCTCTATTAAGAAAAAAAAAATCAAGATTGACTTTGGTTAAACCAAACAATAAAATTGTCCTCTATTTCACTTTAAATTTCCACCCAAACACTATAAAAAGTAAAAGACAACCTTGTTGAATTAAAAAATAATAAAATAAAAACTTTTTAAGTTCTCCCAAATTTAAAATTTGTTTGTTTGTTTTAAATAATAAAAGCTCCCGTACTTAATATTACGATTTTAAAATTATTTACCACAACTCTAAAGTATAATTATATATTTAACTTTTTTATTTAGGGGAATGCTAATATACTTCCACCTATTTTTTAGTGGGAGTATATTAACAGCCAACACCAAAATTTTAAGACAAAAAAATCACTCATTTCTTTTTATTTAATTAACTTGTATAAATGATATTATAATAATTTAATTTAATTTAAATAAAAATAAAATATTTTTTCTCTCTTATTAACTTCATTCTCTAAGTCATTTTTCTCTCCTATTAGATTCCTTCTTCAACTCATTTCTCTTTTCTATTAAATTATTTCTCTAACTTATTTATCTTTCTCCTATTAAATTTCTTCTATAACTCATTTCTCTCTCATCTCTCATGATGTCTCCCCTCTCTCTCTGAACAAATAAGAATTAATTAATAGAAAAAATAAATGAATTAGAAAATAAAATTAATAAGAAAGATAAAATAATTTATTTTTATTTAAAATTAAATTAAATTACTATAATATTCTTTATACGAATTAACCAAATAAAAAAAATGAATAGTTTTTTTATTCTAAAATTTTGATATAAGTTACTAACATATTTCTACTAAAAAATAGGTGAAAGTATATTAGTATTCCCTTTTTATAATTATATAACATGTCATTCGATCACTAATTTTTTTTTTACTCTATTTACTCCCAATAATAATTATATAACATAAAAATGGAGAATAGAAAGAACAAAATATTTGAAGCTCTGTAACAGCTGGTAACGGAGGCTTTTGGGGTAGCCGGCGAGGCATGGTGGATTCCTCTCTTTCTATATGGATTTGGTGCTTCACTCTCTACCCATTATCTCTCTTTTCCTTTATTTACTTTTTCTTTGGTTTATTTATGTGGGTTCGGAAAGAACAGGAGAAGAAAGAAGCTGAAGCCCCCTTGTTATGGTTCGAAACCTCTGACTCTGTTTGTCGCCGACACCAGTTTGAACCTGATGGTCGACTCTCCGTATGTTACTCTTCAATGTCTATGTTTTGGAAGCTTCTTCTTCATCTCTTTTGATAAACATGTTATGTTATGGCCTAAACCCTCATAATTATGTCCTTCATTAGCTTACCTTGTGTGTTTGGATTGGATGTTAAAAATTATAAATTGATGTAAACACAAGTGCCAATGCTGTTCATTTCTTCCTATTGTACCAGCTCTTTGACTCTTTATACTCAAATTTGTGATATCTTAGGCTTTGAGAAAATGTTTTCTGTTTAAATTATCTGTTTTTACTTTTTCTTATAAAATTGTCCTAAATTTTTTCCTTTTTTTTTTTTCTCCAAAGATTTGTTCAGGAAATAGTGAAAATAACTGTTTATTTATTGTTTTCTCTGTTTCCTATACAAATATTTGAAAACAGAAACCAGACTGAAGATAAGGTGACAATTTTGTAATTAAAATTGAAAAAAGACATTGTAAACATGAAATGAATATACCCTTATGTTTTTATAATGAAGCAACTTTTGTGCAGTGTTCTAAAATTGATCGTGAGTTTTGTTCAAGGTGTTTGTTTGGATTTCGTTAACCTAACAAGTGTTTTCGGTTCCTCTGTAGGTTGTGATTGTTGATGATTCCAGGCCCCTATACCAAAGGGTGGCTGGATGTTTCATGAATAAATTTTTCCCCTCGGGATATCCATACAGGTTTTTTAATTTTTCCTGAATATATGTTATAGTTTATGGTGTAGAAAAGCTTGTTCGATGACTTATATTTAACATGTTTTTGTTGCAGTGTGAATGAAGGCTATCTCAGATACACGCAGTTTCGGGCTTTGCAACATGTTACCAGTGCAGCGCTATCAGTTCTATCAACTCAGGTCTTCTTCTGATAACTTTAAAATCTCAGTAAAGGATGTAACGAGAAATAAGTTATTGTCTTTGACATTGGAAAATTAAACTTGCTTTCTTGACAACTGAGATATAAAATACACTTTATTAGTATATATTTTTTGTTAATCGTAGTTATGTTATCTTTTTTATGAATGGATTCCTGTGAAATAATTAAGTGGGTATCCTTGGCCCCTATGCTTATTCTTCTGCAGTCCTTGCTATTTGCTGCAGGGTTGCGGCCCACTCCTGCACAAGCAACTGCTGTTAGTTGGGTAATTTGATACTAATTTAAAATTGGCAATTTCTCAAACCATTTTAGAGTTTGTTTGGATATATATTATAAGTGCTTTTGAGAGTTTCTCTATTAGAAAAAAAACTCTTTATTTTCAGTAGATAAGCTTTCAAAAGCTCTTCTAAATTTGTATTCAAACAGACTTATGGTAACTTCTATTTAATGTATAACCCGGCTGTTTTCCTTGCTTATATCCAGATTTTAAAGGATGGAATGCAACATGTAGGGAAGCTAATCTGTAGCAATTGGGGTGCTAGAATGGATTCTGAGCCTAAACGTTGGAGACTACTAGGTTTGCATCTTGGCTGGTGCTTCTTCACCACCTTCTATCCTTACAATAGCTCTTATTTGTTAAGTTTTCAAGTTGTCTGACTGCAATTAACTTTTCATTTTTTGCAGCTGATGTGCTCTATGATATCGGCATTGGCTTGGAAGTGCTTTCTCCATTATGCCCGCATCTTTTTCTAGAAGTGGCAGGCTTAGGAAATTTAGCAAAGGTTTATATTTTTATTGAGCTTTTTTTTACAGATAATTTCACATTTTGGTATTTGTGTGCAATATAAAGTTGATTCAGTGCTTAATAGTAGTTCATTCAATCCTATATTTGTCATGTTTGGGGTTTTAAGCATCGCATTTTAGATTTCCAGTAAATGTATCATATTTATTTTAGCCTATTAAATTCTCTTTCTGTTATTATGGAGTCAACAGGGGATGGCAGTTGTTGCAGCAAGAGCAACAAGATTGCCTATATATTCTTCATTTGCTAAAGAAGGAAATCTGAGTGACCTATTTGCTAAAGGAGAGGCTTTTTCAACTCTCTTTAATGTTGTTGGAATTGGAGTTGGAATTCAATTAGCATCTACTGTCTGTGCATCAATGCAGGGAAAGGTATAGAGATTTTATTTGTTTGTTCTTGGGCTTCAGTGTTCTATTAACTTTTCGGCTTGACTCATGCAATTAGTTTGTGCTAATAACAATATATTGTTTATATGCACTCAGAATCATTACTCATATTGTGAAAGGAACTAGGAAGTAATTATTTTTTTCCTAGTTACCCTATAGAGATAGAATTGATCATATTGCATATCTTAATGTCAAAAATATTTGTGTTGTGATGATTCCAACTGATGGATTATGAAACTTTTTATGCAGTTTGTTGTGGGTCCTCTCCTTTCCATATTACATATATACAGTGTGTCTGAAGAAATGAGAGCAACTCCTATCAATACCTTGAATCCACGAAGAACTGCAATGGTTGTGGCCGATTTTCTCAAGGTCTGGTTTAAACTGTTATAGTAAATGAAAACTCTCTCGGTTTCCCTTCAATTCATTATCTGATAAAAGAAAAATGAAATGTTGTTTGACATTTTGTTGAATTCCAAAACAGGAAGGAGTTGTAGCAAGCCCTGCTGATCTAAGATATAGAGAAAATCTGCTGTTTCCTCTGCAACTCAAAGAAGATGCTGGAAATGTAAGAGTGGGGAAGGATGTACACAAGGTCATTCAACCTTCCAGGCTTCTTGAGTTAAGACAAGTGTTCCCTAAGGAGAAGTTTCTTTTAAATTTTGGGGGAAATTGCATCAACATGGTGTTGGAGCAAGATGCTAGTGGTGAAGATGCATTGAGAGGGTGGCTAGTAGCTGCATATGCTTCACAAACTGAGAGTTCCTCTCATGAGCTCAATGGTAGTGTCATGCATGAGGCTTATGAGAAAATGAATGGTGTCTTTCCTGTATTCTTAAAGGAATTGCAGAACAAAGGGTGGCACACTGATAGGTTTTTGGATGGAACTGGAAGCCGTTTTGCACTCTAGTGCTCGTATAGTTTCTATGTTGCTTTGAGTAGGTTTTGATCCATTCTTTCAGAGAATTTTTGATGTGCTATGGGTGGAGTAAATCCGATAGTGTTCACATATCTTATGCTCAATTTAATTGTATATTGTACCTATTTTTTTAAAGAGCAATGTTAGATGCACCAAAAGATAGAATGACGCGCGCACCCACATTTGCCTCGTGAATGTGTAGTCTCAAACCCATGTTTTATTTGGTTTATTCAAGTTATTTATGTATTTATCATAATTATAATGATGGTATTAAGTTTCGAGTCTGAATCTACTTTAACTCTTATTAAGTCGATTTTGATTCAAATTTATTATTCAATAGCTTTGGATTTAGTTAGACCGTATTCTGTTATATTCGCAATCTTTTTCAGACGATAGGAATAATTTTTAAAACGTTCAAATGAGTATTATTGACGTGTAGGTTAGAGAGACGATGACAATCTGTAGTTAGTGAAAGTATTGTCCTATAGTGAGCAGTTACTTGTACTTAGGTATGACAAAATGAGTTGTAATTCGCGGAACGGCCTGTTAGCCTATCAAAAATTGATGGGTTGGACCCATCATTTCAATCTGCTCTACCAAACTCGCTAATTCATTGGGCCAAATAACAGGCTGACTCGTCACAACCCGCTAACTCGTATAAGTAATTAGGCTTTAGTTGCTTGCATAAGTAATAAACTTGTTTTATGGACTATAAAAAATTTAGATTATTAGTAATTTGTAAGTTTATAATTTGGTTTTGATTTTGGTGTAAGTGACTAATTTCTATTTGATTTTGTTCTAAGTTTGTAACTTGCTTTTGTTGAACATATATTTATGTACAATATGTATGCATTTTTAATTTCATATGGTTATATTTATTTATTTGTAGCAAATTTTTTTATTTGAACCTAAAATATATTTTTTTTCCATTTTTTTGTAATTTTTTTTGTGGTATGCGGGTTGGCCTGCTGACCCACTAGCCTGTCCTTAGGTGGGACGGCCAACGTTTCCAACCCGTTTTTCATTGACGGGCCGGCAGCCCGACCCATTTTTGGCGGCCATTGACGAGCTAGGCCAAAACGGGACAGGTTGACCTATTTTGCCACCCTTACTTATACTACATTAAAAGTAAGTTAAAGGTTTAAAATCTTGTTGAAATTAACTTTTAAAAACTAATTTTAGTTAGATGTTTTTTTTTATTCATCAAGCTTTTTTTTTATTTATAGATAATTTTTTTTAAGGTAAGCTAAAAGCCGCGACTTTCAATTTGTGTTCTTTTGTTTGAAAAAAGTTGAGGATCACCTTAAGAGTGTGATTCACAAATACAATTTACCCTATTTTAAGATTATTTTTAAAAATCATCCATAAAAATTTTAAAAAACTTATCCCTAATTTTTTTATTTATAAAAGTAGATGTGATATAATATCACTTTTTAGAGGAGGATCTTAACTAAGTTAGCACTTCGCTCCACATCTATCATATGTTTGACATCAAGAAAGCTAACATTAAAAGTAAAAGAAATAATATAAAGTGGGAAAAAAAAAGCTAGTTAAATAAAATTGTACAACAATTTGAAAAAGTGAAAACAAATTATGTGAAAAGTAAATTTAAGCAATGTGATGTATATAAAAGTTACATCATTTTCAAAAGTTTGACTAGTTTAAGATTCAAACTTCAATGCACGAGTACCTAAAGATTAATTGAAATAACATATGATCATCATGGTGATGTACAAAACTAAGATTATTTATCTAATATTATCTCCAATTTTATTTATAAGACTCATTTTAAAATAATTAATTATTTTTTTTACATAAGAATTAATTTATATTATCTCATATATTAATTATTTTTAGACTAAAATATCTTTGGTTAAAATGTGTTCTCTAGTAAAATACATAAACAAGAATATTGATTTCATTAATAGTAATTATCTCTCAAATTAATTATATATTATAATATTTACTTCATAACAAAAACATGTGAAAATTATTGAGTAATTCATGTGGTGGTACGAGTTTCATAATAATTAATTATAAATTTTTTAAAGAACATATACTCTAATTAATTAAAAGAAAGATGAATATTAATTATGAGAAAGAAATATTACAAAGCAACACTCTAATATGTTAAAAGGTATATAAATATTAATTAAGATACATAAGTAGTATAAGAATGATTTTAGAATTTTTTATTATTATTATCAATTAAATTAACTATATTTTTTTCATATTAATTGATAAATTAGGTAATTGAGTTTTTTCACGTTTTTATTTAAAAATTAAATAATTGCAAGTTTCTTAATCAGGTGCCAAGGGGTCGTTATCCTTGGGTGTTAAAGCTGTATTAAATTTTGCTACTTTAAAGCCATTCAATCCACTTTTTTGAGCTTTTGTATAAAATATAGGAGGCAGGTTTAAATAAAGCAGAGTAAAGATTTTGGTATTGCAGGTGGGTTTTATGGAATCGAAGTTTGGTCCAAGTACATTTAACTAGTTAGAAAAAATGTTTTTCAAGCATCATATGTGCGATTGCTAGTTGAAAAAAATTAGAAATATATATATCAGAATTCGTTTCGGCTTAGAAGTCAAGTTAAAAGCTGAATGTTCATCATCAATAATCAAACAGTCAAAAAGTCAGGTTCAAACAATTTGTCCCTTCCGCACGTAGAGTATTTAGATATACATGTTTATTTTACTTCTTAAATGCTACGTAGTGGGGTTCGACTTGTTATCCATATTAAAATCATTCCATCATATTATTCATCCAGATCACGGAATCATGATCATCTTCAAAGTGTTGTTCCATTTTTCACCTAATTGCTACGTGACATCATGTCTGACAACATGTATATGTTTTATATTAATTTAAAAGCTAAAGTTTAGCCTCAAAAACTTTGTTTTAGATACATATGAGTATATTTTGGATACGTACTCAAATCCGAAAAATAAAACCTATGTATAAACAAAAATTTTTAAAAATAAAACTAAAAGATTGGTGGGTCACAAATATATGGTAAAATCTCCAACGTTTAATTCATTCCTTTGAAACTTCTCTCACAACCATCACTATTTTGTGAGAAAAATTAAAACATATATTTTCTTGTCCATTTTATGAAAAGAAATAAGTTCAATTCTAAAAAAATTAAATATTTAAATTTTATGGATACAAATTATCATCTCGTCTAAAAAAAAATAGCAAGAATTATATAGATGACAAGAGTAAAATCTTGTTGTGATTTTTTTTTATCTTGCAAAATTAGAATGATTTTGCATAGGAAAATTAGTAAGGTACACCTTAATTCAGAAACTGCTAATTTGTTTTAAATTGAACTTATTACTCAAATTGAACACAAGTGTGAACATTACAAAACTAATATGTAGCGGGATTTTATAAACCCTCTTAATGAAAGTGGTGACAAATCTGCTTGCCAAACTGATATAGTCAAAGTGCTTATTATTTATAGTATAGGAATAAGAATTTTTTTATAAAGACGTTATTAATGTTCCGGTTAAAATTAATTGTGGCTGTAAACGGAAATCAAATCATGTGTGTTTTGTAATTCTTACCAAGAAAATTGATCAAGAAATTAATACGTAATTTTTTATTATTAGAAACAACAGTAAAATATATTCAAAACCACGCTAAGAAAAAACTATGCAAAGAATATATTAATAATATGGTGTTTCTTTCTCTTTATGAACTCTGGGTCCCGATTTCCCCTTCTCTGTTTTGGGGGCTAAATCGTTCCTCATAAATTGGCAGAAACCTGGTAATGGTATTTTGCTGGCTCCATCATCACACTACAATAAATGTTACATATAATGACATACAAAAAGTGTCACTATAAGTATAATATATGTAGGTATATATCTATTTGATATATAGCTATACACAATTTTAGTGTTGATTTTGAATGAGATTTAACAACATATTTTGTGTGTCACTATAGTTTATACCCACACTTTTTAACAATATATCAACATATATTATATTTATTGTGTAGGTAAAAGTAATTTTTAGTGACACATATTGTGTCACTATAGGATGTGTGTCATTATATAGCAATTTCCTTGTAGTGTCAGTTTGAGTGTGCTCAAATAAATTGTTTATCACGTCTTTCATGAGGCCAATTTGTAACGTAGTTAATGGACTGGAACGGGGCGTTCCCAGATTAGAATGGGCCATTCCAAACTACAAAAACAAGGGTAATTTAGTAGCCCAGAACGGACCGTTCCCAAACTGGAACGGGTCGTTCCAAACTACTAAATAGGCCTATGAATCTTGGACTGGAACGGGCCATTTCAAAGTGGTCATTGTGAGTTAAATTCAACTCCAGAACGGGCCGTTTCGGTTTTAGAACGGGTCGTTCTAGACGTGCCAGAACGGGCCGTTCCGATTTCAGAACAGGTTATTCTATATGTGAATTTTACCCATGATGAAGGAGCCCAGAACGGGTCGTTCCGGATTTGGAACGAGTCGTTCTGGCCAGTTCAAATTTCTATAAATAGAGGATGTGGGCAGTTGAGGAAGATGGAGGTTTTAGAGAGAAGTTCTAGAGAGAAGAACTCTGGACTAGAAAGCTTGCTTTTGAAGGATTGAAGTTCAAGAGTCAAACTTTGGAGGATATTTCTTCTTCTTCTTCTTAGATTCTTGGCTTTTCGAGCCAATCTTCAAGTAAGAGAAGTTAGATTATACAGTTGTTGGTTGTATGTGAGTTGAGAACTCATTTGGGTGCTTAGGTTGATTAGTATTGTTTGGGTATTTAAGTTGGCATGATACATGGGTTGTAAATATGTAGTATGAGTTGTGTTATGTGATGAAAATATTGTGTGTTGCTAATATATGATTAAATATTTATTAATGATGTTGTTGGTGATGCTTTCATGATGAAAATGGGATGTAAATGAGATGCATGTTGTAGTTAAGTTGTGAAGTTGTTTACAAGTTGTGTGTTGATCTATGATATTGTTGAAGCTAGTTGAAATTAAGTTGATAAGGTTGCTATATGTGTGGACATGTTTATGTTGTGAAGTATGATGGGATGTTATTAGTAGATTGTGTTGTCAAGTTGTTAGAGGAGAGTTGTATGTTGCTAAAAAGTTGTATGTTGTGCCATGTGTTGAAAAGATATTATCTTAGGATAATTGAGTTGTAAATTATGAGTTGAGCTAATAAGTTGTTGAGTTGATTGTGTTGTTTAAATTTGAAAAGAGATGTTGTGTGGTTAAAATGTGTTGTTAAATAACGTTGATGAGTTGTTGTGCTGATAAGTTGTGT